ACCGGGCAGGGGGTGGCACTGGGGGGGCTTGAAGGTCCCTTCCCACCCAAACCATTCCGTGGCTCTGTCATTAACACTAACGGGGGCGTGCAACCGGCTGAAGCAGCCTGGCGCTGCCGCTGGCTGGCGGGCTCCGGACAGCTGTTCCTGCACGCCCTGCCCCGGTTTAACGCCGCCGGGACCCCCTTCCCCTCGCAATGCCCCGCTCCCCCCATCCCGGGCCCGCTCTCCCCCCTGTCGGTTCCTCCCTCCCGGCTGTTCCTCGCCGCCGCCAGAGGGGGCGCTGCCGCCCCGGCGCTCGCCGGCTGATGCAATCCCCACGCGGAGGGAGGGGCGGAGCCTCCCCCCGGCGGCCTCCCCTGGTGCCCAATGGGCGGCGGCGGCGCCGGGTGACGTCGAGGGGGCGGGCGGGCGCCTGCGCCGTCGGGGAGGTCCCCGCCCCTCGGGGCTCGCGCCGGCGGCGGGCGGGTCAAGGCGCCGCGCTCGCCCCCGCGCCGCCATTTTGTGCCGCAGCCCGCAACAGGATGGAGCCGATCACCCGAGGGAAGCCGCCCGCCCGACCCCGCCGACAACGACCCGCAGCCCCTCGACGGAGCGTCGCTCCGCAGACCCCGCCGCACCGCTGGGAACGCTGAAGAGTCTCCCTCAGCCCCACCGCCGCTCCCCCCTCATGGAGTCAAGCGGCCGGGAACACGGCCTGGGGCGGGCCCGGCTGGGCTTCGCCGCGGCCTGGCCTAAATTGGCCGGGTCCAGCGCGGCCCCCGCCGGCGCCTCGCCCCAGGCGAGCCCGCCCTTCTCCTGGCTGCGGCTGATGTCGCAGCTCCTTTCCCCGCTGCCCGCTTTGCTGCAGCGGCTGCTGCCCGGCCCCGCGCTGAGCAGTGCCCTCTGCCCCGCCGCCGGGCAGCCGCCCGCTAAGGGACCCCAGGCCTCGCCGCTGCCGCTGCTGCTGTCGGAGCCGGCCGCCTCGCTGGACTGGGCCGAGGAGACGCTTCCGTGGCCGGAGGAGCCCCTGGAGAAAGGGGGAGAGGTCGGCACGGAGCCACCGGCGGGGGGCTGGGCATCCGGAGCGGTGCGGAGCCTGGTGTCCTTCCCCTTACGGCGTGTGGACTGGTACGTGCTGGGCTCGGAGCAGGGCCGGGCGGGCTCCTCCGGCAAGAACCATCTGCCCCAACCCCTACGAGCCGAGGTCCCCGCCGAGGCCTGGCGAGGCTGCCCTGCCCGCGGCCGTTTGCCGGAGGTTGAGTTCCTCCGCAATAAGCGCTTGGCTTTCCTCCAGCGCTGGCATTTGGCGAGTGGTGGCCTGGCCGTGCCAGAGCCGGACCACGGCTATCACAGCCTGGAGGAGGAGCAGCAGCAGCACAAGGGCCTTCGTCAAGAAGAGGTAGAGGGACGGAGGGACCACCGGTGCGACGCCGGGGAGTTAAAGCAGCCCCAGGAGCCGAGCGAGCCGGGGAGACAAGCTGGAGGTGGCTCCTTGGAGCAGGAGGGGATCAGGGGTTCAGCTGAGAAGGAGGCGTTTGAGAGGGAAGCCTTGGCTGAAGAGGATGACGAGGACTCCGAAATAGAGCAAAACCTTCCATTTTCGGCCAGACCTGCCTGTGCAAATAAATTAATAGACTATATCATAGGGGGAGCTTCCAGTGGGGAGGAGAGTGCGGATGATGAGGAAGACTGGGATGATGATGATGATGGGTTTGACAGCGAAGGACTCCCCTCTGATTCAGACGCCGGCAGTCAGGACGGGGAAAGGCTTCATCTCTGGAATTCCTTCTACAGTTTGGATCCCTACAACCCTCAGAACTTCACAGCCACCATTCAGACCTCTTCCAGCGATCGGGGAAAGGATATATCAGATGTGGAGGAGGAAGAGGAGGAGGAGGAGGATTCCTCGTGGGCAGAGGAGTCCTCAGGCTCTCCTCACCCTAGTTCTGAAGAGGAGGAGGACGAGTGGGACTGTAGCAGCGTGGATGAGGCAGAAAGCTTGAAACTTTGGAACTCGTTCTGTACCTCAGATGATCCGTATAACCCTTTAAATTTCAAGGCAGCCTTTCAAACAGCAGAGAAAAAAGGGACATCTAGTTTAAAAGGAGCAGAGAGGCCGAGTTTGGTCGTTTCTGAGCGTAGTCACTTAACTGTCTGTTGCGTGCAGCTGGAAAAACATAACTGTGGGGTGCCTGACTTTGTGCAGCAGGGCATTCTTGCTGGGGAGAAATGTAGGAGTACCAAGCGGAAAAAGGTATCTACTTTGTTTATGTTTTTTGTTTCTTGTGGGAATGCTTAAAAAAAAAACTAACCAAAAACTAACCCAAACCAACAAACCCACGTTGCATGGCGTGGGCGGTGAGGGGTGAGGTCACTCGTGCCAGCATTCCAGCCCCAGCGGTGGCAGATCATGCCCCCATGAGCTTATGGTCTAATTATTTGGGTGAAATGACTGTGCCTCATCCTTCACACGTGACGGAAGATTTCGTAATTCAGTGACACAGAGCAGAAATTCCTTTTCTACTTTTCATTCTCTATTTGTGTTGTAACGTAGTTTTTGGTATCAGAGAAACAAATGGGAACCGTGATGTAAAATTTTCCTCTGGAAAGTACCCGTTTCTGTTATGAACAACGTTGAGAAAGTAATTTAGGACCTTTGGGTGTGCATAGGGTAATCGAGATGCAACGTATCGAAACATTTCAGGGCTTGTGACAAGCCTGTTTGAGTTTTAAACATCTTTTGAAATAGAAATCTTGTGTTGTGGGTTAACACAAGCTACACTAAGCCACTAACATTTCAGTAGAGGGTGTACCAGTACTCCCATTTAAGAGAATGTTACAATTTAGCAGTCATTTATTAAAAGGATATAAACTGGAAGTTTAATGTGCTTATGAGGAGTTAGTGCATTAAAAAACTGTTTAGTACAAATAATAGTATTTCTGTAAAGATCAACAAATTCATCTTCTTAGGAGTTTTATGCTATAGATGTACACGTGTGAGGTCTGAGTCTTGGCTGATACTGCAAATATTTGTATGAGTTGGGATATCAAGTCCCAGGGTAATGCACTAGTGTAGAAAATAGAAAAATTATGTACTGCTTGCTTTAGCATTCTTACAGCAGAAACATTTGTTTGCTCCTAGAGTCGAGAGCCTGACTTGGAGGTAATTTTGTCTGTTTTTGCTTGGGCAAGTGGCATTTGATGGTTTGCACTGGATAAACTACTGTATTTTAATCTAAATCTAAACCAGTTTCTGCAAGAGATCCTTTGTAACTGAGAGCATGTCTGAAACGCTGTGAGGAAGCCCTGGTGGGTCCTGCTCTAGTTCCTACTGCTGTGACCTAAAAATCTCGTTGCATATCAGGGATGTAGACTTCCCAGTAGTAATTTTTTTGACTAATTTATTGTTTGACTCTGTGTAATCTACTGACATGGTGAAAGAACGATGATGCAGGCGCAACATTTAGCGGGATGTTACAAAATCCAGTAATTGTGCCCAAGGGTGTCCTAGACTGATGTAAAGAGGATGTAAGGTAGGAACTCGCCCAGGGATGGATGGGCTGATGTAACAGCTCCGTGTGCTTCAGAGCAGAGACTTAATTAGCCCCGGCTGCAAAACAGCAGAGATTTCCCAGCAGTGACCGAGGTGTTCCCAGAAAATCTTCAAGTCCTTTGTCCTGCTCAAGGCTGTTTCCTCTCTGGCATCCTGCAAACAAACAGAGGCAATATTTATGTTTGTAAAGTCATAAAACCTGGGAGTGTTTAGGTTTCACTTAGGAGTTAGTAAATGCATTGACCTTACGTGAGGATGTGTGGGGTGTGATGGCCCTGCCTTTCCTAGGGAGCTCGGCAGGGATTTGGGAATGCTGCCCTGGAATGGGGTGACTTCTGGAGGTTGTTTCACACACTCTCATGTGACTCTGTATCCTCAAGTGTGATTATTCCTGTGGGTCTCATCTTTTCCATCACGTTACCTTCATGTTTTCTGGGAAGGTTGGAAGATGGCTCTACCACAAAAAGCCATTTCACTCTACACTCCTCGTAGTGTGAGCACGAGCTGGGTGTGAAACCAGGGTTCTCCCTTAATAAAACATAGGGATGGAGCAGCAAGGGTTTTGCACCCCCCAAGTTTCACCTTCAAAAGTAGCCATCCTGCAGCAAATTCACTGGAATCATCTGTAAGGACAGTGTTTGCTTTGTCTTCAAGAATTGGTCCTAGTCTGAGAGCTGGTGGGTGCTCCAGTTCTGTGCCTTCTGTGCAGCTGAGTGAAAGATTCAGGAGGAGCCTGAAATAGTCTGGTTTTCGCTTATCACTCTCTAACAGAGAAGCTTAAATCCTTAGTGTAGTGATAATCTAAATACAGTCGAGATCCTGAGCCTATAAGTTTTCTTAAAATAGCTTAATAGTACTTAATAATAGCAGAGAGTGAAAGTTTTCCTACGTATTTTTTAAAGTGCCATGACTTTGACTTCATTTTGTTGCGTGAACTTAAAAGACACTGGAATTTGATCCCAGCCCTGAGTAGATGGGTCTGTTCCAGTCCCTGGTGACGAGTGTCCCTTCCTTATATGTAGAGCAGTTGGATTTCTTTTTCTGGTGCTGGAGTCCAGGCTGACTCATGCAATTACTTATTCCACAGAACAATGATTCTTCCTTTTCTCATTATGTGAGCTTCAGTAATCAGCAACGTTGGCCAGTGCCATATTTCTTGCCCAAAGTGAGTGTCCTGGCACGTCCCACTGCTTGAGCTGTGTCTCTGTAAGGTCACAACCCCGTGCTGATGCCAGGGGGGTGTGTTATTTCACAGGGAACACTCTGTGATCCACCATCAGCCTAAAGAGTCCTCTTGGACAGCAGTTTAGAAACCCTGTAGTAATTTGAGCAATTTTGGTAAAGGGAGAAGTCAGCAAATGGTTATTTTAAAGCTGAGAGGTGACATGCACTCTGGCCTTGGTGGTGCAGAGACCTAGCGTGAACTCATTGCATATCAGAGAGGCGTTTAATAACCTCTGTTAAAAAAAATTGATCTCCTATGTCCAAATAATTACTAAGCTCCTTTTGCAGGAGTGTTTGGTTAATGTTTTACTAAATGACTTGTCTTTTCCAGGTCACTTTCCTTGAAAAAGTTACCGAGTATTACATAAGCAGCGAGGAGGATCGTAAAGGCCCTTGGGAGGAGCTTGCACGGGATGGATGCAGGTTCCAGAAACGGATCCAGGAAACAGAGGAAGCCATCGGATACTGCTTCACGAGGGAGCACAGACAGAGAGTATTCAATAGACTCCAAGAAACCTACTCACAAGAGGGTTGATCCCTTCTAGCACCTTAAAAGATTCCGGTAGTTGTGTGACCGTACGCACCGATGAGCATCTTCCAAACAAGACATGGCAGCTGCATGTGCTATTTTGAAACGGGGAGAGAAGTGAGATTTTAACAAATTATTATTTTTTTTTCCCCAGTTCGATATTCAGCCAACAGGTATACCCATGAACCCCCTTTTGGTATCCTGACAAAACCTTTTGAGTATCATCGAGGGTGAGGGTGGGGTAACTGCATTCCTTTTTAAGTAACACTTGAGAAACAGACTGCTTTAGGTTAAATCCATTCCAAAAATGCCTTGTCTGCCGTGTGTGGAGAAGTGGTGACTATTTAGTTGGATTTTTTGCACTTTGAAAAAAAAAAAAAGAATTATTATTTTTTTTTCCCCAGTTCGATATTCAGCCAACAGGTATACCCATGTGTCCCCTTTCGGTATCCTGACAAAACCTTTTGAGTATCATCGAGGGTGAGGGTGGGGTAACTGCATTCCTTTTTAAGTAACACTTGAGAAACAGACTGCTTTAGGTTAAATCCATTCCAAAAATGCCTTGTCTGCCGTGTGTGGAGAAGTGGTGACTATTTAGTTGGATTTTTTGCACTTTGAAAAAAAAAAAAAAGCAAAACCTATTTTGAAGGAGATATTTATGGGGCTCAGAACCTAGTTATTGCAGTTTTGATTTAAAGTTTCTAGAGGTTTGTGCTACTTCCTTGTGCTTCTCCATTTTCTTGTACAAAAACCTCAACATTTTGTTAGCTAATAATGTTAACTGTAAAGCAGTTTATTCCTTCAAGATCCCAGTTCTGCATGTAATCTGCTGTTTGAGTGTTTTTGTGGTGCTTTGGTGTGTTAATATTTCAGCCTGGCACGCTGGGGGGGCTCAGGGGAGCTCTGGTGCACTACGAGCCCTTTGGTTTGTCTTTATTTAAATAAATCCCTTTCCCCAGTACCGTTCCAAAGGGTGTTGGCTGCTTCTGCACCAAATCTTTTTGCTTTCAGGGCACTGAAAGGCCTCATCCTGGTCAATAATTAAACCTTCTCGGGATGTTGGAGGCTCTGGCTGATAGTTTGGATTTAGGTGGCCACGCACAGGGACCTGCACCCTAATTCTTGGTAATCTTAGAGTGACTTTGCCATAATTGATTCTGCTTTTGGAAGATGGATTGAAATGGGGGATTCTACATATTTCTTGTATCCAATATGCTTGTTTTGGTACTTTTAAGGGGAATTGCCTTTGATTTGTGGAAATCTAAGGTTACGAATTGCTGTGTTCTTTACCAAAAGCCAGTATTAATATTTCTGTGCCTGCACTTTGGTTCATCTGGTACAAAATTAACATTTCACGTTCAGGGGCTGAAAGTTGAAGGTCCTTGATGAAAGGAAAACACTCCTTATTTATGTTCCTAACTCAAAATGTTTAATTGTTGTTTTCAGTCAGAAATAAAAAAAGCAGCACCTTTGGATACGGGTTCGGAGCTGGCGGGTGTTGTGTGGCCGTTACCCAGGCAGGTACGAGGTCATGCCATGGAGGAAATACCAAACAGTAAAGAATTCCTACCTATTGGAAGTGCTACAATTAGGAAACTCATTGAACTACAGTAGAGTTGTTTTGTAAACTTCAAATCTAGCTGAAATTCAAGCAGCCTTACAGACTGGCTGCGTGGAAGCAAAGCAGCGATGATATTTTTTTTTCATTCCTATGGCATAAAATAAATTGGATTTGTTTCATTCCTATGGCATAAAATAAATTGGATTCTCCTTTCCTACAAAATTTTAGTTGTGAAATCGTAATTCTAATCATGCTCTCAAATCCTGTGAAATAACCTTTCATTTTTAGGAGTTCATTTTCCTGTATTATTTGATAAACAGCTGCTCTGCTTTTTAGTTTAGAAAAAAAAAACCGCACAGGATGATAAATGTAGAATTACAGAAAAATTGTAGACTTATGGTCCAGGTGTGACTGATGAGTAAAAATGCTGTTCATTGTTCTTGGTAAAATTACTATAGATATTTTTCTATGATTCTCCTCATTTCTTCGGTCTTGGAGAACTTGTTGGTGCTTCAGTTTGTCTGGAGAACTCACTGGGGTCCCTGGTGCTTGTGAATTAACACCTGCAAACACCCATCTGCTGTTTGCAGAAGCCTGGAAAAGGCTACAGCTGGAAACAACCAGAATTGACAAATTGGATGGAAACTAGATTAAAAACTGTTTCCAAAGCACTTCTAACAGTTGAGAAATTGCTTTTTTTTTCCCACCTGCAGTGTGTGAAGCTCTGTGTTCTAACGCTGCTGATTCCCACTGGAAGGTACCTGCTTGGGTAAGCTTTTTGGGTAAGCTTTTTCCACCTCGTGTTTTCCAAGTATCCAGTTTAAGGTGACAGAAAATGAACACTAAATTCATCACCTTCGCAGTGAGCTAAGATTGGTCGTTCCCATTTCCCCTCTAAACGTACCTTCAAATGGTCATTCCGACTGTGTACGTGTCAGTGCTTTGAGTGGGACAGTCAAAATAACACTTGTTGAACTTTAAATCAAAACTGTAATTATCAGATTTTATTTTTGTATAATTTAGAGGAAGCTAGAAAAACCTTCAACATTGGCTTTATACAGATTTTAATTGATTTGTGTCGAGTTTGTTGGGTTTTTATATCTAAAGTTATATTTCTGTACATAATAAAAACTATTCAGAACTAATCTGTAAATTGTAATAAAGAGATTTGCAAGATAATTTTGCCAAGTTGTTATTCTTTGAAGGAACTTCCAGGAGACATCAGGTAACTCTGCAGAAGTGTGATTTGTGCACGTATCTTTAGCTTTATGAGATATTTAAATTTTCTTTTTTATCACCTTTGGTGTTTTAGGGGAGTTAGAATAATTTAGAAGCAGACACTTCCCTGTGACTTCCCTTCCAAAAATGCTCCTTGCACTGATGAAGCTTTGAAACTTAATATACAGAGCGTCCAAGTGTAATTAGTTTTATTCAAATGAGGTGTTGGCTCGGTGTGTGCAGGGATGTTAATGTTTTGTTGCCCTAATTGGAGCTGAGTATGGACATAGGGTTTAGTTTGCTGCCTGCTCAGCACCACTTTAAATATGAATAGTGATGGCTTTGGAGGTATTTCAGGGTTTGGTGGTTTTTTTAAGTATTTTCAGGTTTTGCACTGAAATAAATCTGAGATGTCACGTGGTGAGTGGAAGTGACACCTGATATTTCTTCAGAGAAGAGCTAAAATGCTTCCCTGTGTTTTGCCACAGAGCATTGGCCTATAATGCAGAGAATGATTTATTTATTTCTTTGTTTTAATGAATTGGAGTAAAATTCAGGAGCTGGGAAGGTGGCACTGCCCGGTGACACTCCATCCTGCGCAGCAGCATCCAGGGTAATTATTTTTAAGGAAGGATTATGGTTTTTTGGCGTATAAAGCTGTGTCTGTCACTCCATGGTTTTTAGACCAGGGAATACCAGAATTTTGGCAGAGTTTTCCACTATCCTGGAGCCCCAATCCCTGGTGGGAGCTTCAGGAGGGGGGGGTCCAGGGGGTTGTGCCTTCAGCTGGGGGGGCCTTTTGCTGGGTGGGAGGAAGGAGGCTGGAAGGTCGGGGCAGCAGCAAGACCTGGGTTTTGTATCCCAAAGTGTTTCACAGGCCTAAACCAGCTTTTCCAGGGGTTTCCAGTGGGTGACTGGGGAGTGGAGCTGGACGTGAGGGTTTGGGCCTCAGCCAAACCCCTGCTGACGAGCTTCCTCCTCAGCGACGACACCGGTGACGCCGTCACCACGTGTGACATGGTCGTGGCCTAAGAGTCTGTGGAATGGGTTCAAGGGCCATGAGGTTGGTCGGGCCTCTTCCAGAGCAACATTTTGGGCAAAGCTTTTCGAGTTATCAATTGTTTAGTTTATGCCTTGAAGAAAAGCACTGCTTGGAGCTGAGAACATCGTGGTGGGATGGGCTGTTGGCTCCTGTCCTGGGGCACAAGCCCTGTCTCACCCCGTCCCTGCATCTCCTCTGGGCTTCTCTGAATCTCCACCGTGTGGTATTTGTGTCTGTAAGAGTGTAATGGGTAGAAAGCTGCTGGATGAGCGATGGAAAAACACTGAATTTCTTGCAATACCCTGTTTAAAGCAGCTAACAAAGCTGAACATCCTAATTCCGGACTCCAGTGGCTGGTGAAACAGGGTGGTTAATTTTTAGAGTCACATTCACCTGGTTCTGCTGGTTCTAAAATCTGCCTTAAAAAATGAACGTGGTAATTTCTCTCGATTCAGTAAAAAAAAAAAACCCAAACTTTATGATTTCTCTTGATTCAGTGAGATAGCTTAAAGAAATACTGTGCTAAAATAAAAAGCTTCTCTGTCTCCGGCGGCGCATCCAGATGCCATCTGGAATGTGGAAATCCTGCTGGGATTTCTTTCTTCTCCGGGCGCCGGGGTCTGCAGTTGGAGTTGAGGATGTATCTGTGAGAGGGGAATTGTTCTTGCTCTGGTGGCTCCGTCTTCTCCACGGGGCTCAAGAACTTGTTTGTCAGCAAAGCACGTGGGGAGTAAATAAGCTGCTATTTCTGCTACTGAACGGCGGCCACTAAAATGCCTTTTTTGCAAATGAATGGTGCTGCCGAGCTGGTTTGGTCCCACAAAAGCAAGTTTCTTCTGAAACTGGGAGGCGGGGGAAGGCGTTGATGATGCTGAATCACGTTCAGCCTGGAGAAGAGAAGGCTCCAGGGAGACCTTAGAGCCCCTTCCAGTCCCTCAAGGGGCTCCAGGAGAGATGGGGAGGGACTCTGGATCAGGGAGGGGAGCCATAGGACAAGGGGGAAGGGTTTTAAGCTGAAAAAGGAGAGATTTAGGTTAGATCTGGGGAAGAACTTGTTTGCTGTGAGGGTGGTAAGAGCCTGGCCCAGGTTGCCCAGAGAAGCTGTGGCTGCCCCATCCCTGGAGGGGTTCAAGGGCAGGTTGGAGGGGGCTTGGAGCAACCTGGGCTGGTGGGAGGTGTCCCTGCCCAGGGCAGGGGGTGGCACTGAATGGTTTTTAAGGTCCCTCCCAACTTAGCCCATTCTGTGATTCTCTAATGCACGTTGTACCCCTCCCCGACTGTCACTAGACAACAGTCTGGCCCCCCCCATAAATTCAAGCTGGCATCTCCTCCTCTCCTTTACTCCACACAAAGCCCATCCAACCACTCAAAGTCCCCACCTGGGAGCCAGGCTGGGGACACGGTGCCCATCGCACCACCCGGCTTTGCAATCAGGGGGCAGGGGAACTCTGCTCCCTCTCCCTTCCCAGCTCCAGACCAGAGACCAATAATCACAAGTGAAAGAGTTGCTAAGCAAAAAAAAAAAAAAGTGGAAGTGACACCTGATATTTCTTCAGAGAAGAGCCAAAACGCTTCCCTGTGTTTTGCCACAGAGCATTGGCCTATAATGCAGAGAATGATTTATTTATTTCTTTGTTTTAATGAATTGGAGTAAAATTCAGGAGCTGGGAAGGTGGCACTGCCCGGTGACACTCCATCCTGCGCAGCAGCATCCAGGGTAATTATTTTTAAGGAAGGATTATGGTTTTTTGGCGTATAAAGCTGTGTCTGTCACTCCATGGTTTTTAGACCAGGGAATACCAGAATTTTGGCAGAGTTTTCCACTATCCTGGAGCCCCAATCCCTGGTGGGAGCTTCAGGAGGGGGGGGTCCAGGGGGTTGTGCCTTCAGCTGGGGGGGCCTTTTGCTGGGTGGGAGGAAGGAGGCTGGAAGGTCGGGGCAGCAGCAAGACCTGGGTTTTGTATCCCAAAGTGTTTCACAGGCCTAAACCAGCTTTTCCAGGGGTTTCCAGTGGGTGACTGGGGAGTGGAGCTGGACGTGAGGGTTTGGGCCTCAGCCAAACCCCTGCTGACGAGCTTCCTCCTCAGCGACGACACCGGTGACGCCGTCACCACGTGTGACATGGTCGTGGCCTAAGAGTCTGTGGAATGGGTTCAAGGGCCATGAGGTTGGTCGGGCCTCTTCCAGAGCAACATTTTGGGCAAAGCTTTTCGAGTTATCAATTGTTTAGTTTATGCCTTGAAGAAAAGCACTGCTTGGAGCTGAGAACATCGTGGTGGGATGGGCTGTTGGCTCCTGTCCTGGGGCACAAGCCCTGTCTCACCCCGTCCCTGCATCTCCTCTGGGCTTCTCTGAATCTCCACCGTGTGGTATTTGTGTCTGTAAGAGTGTAATGGGTAGAAAGCTGCTGGATGAGCGATGGAAAAACACTGAATTTCTTGCAATACCCTGTTTAAAGCAGCTAACAAAGCTGAACATCCTAATTCCGGACTCCAGTGGCTGGTGAAACAGGGTGGTTAATTTTTAGAGTCACATTCACCTGGTTCTGCTGGTTCTAAAATCTGCCTTAAAAAATGAACGTGGTAATTTCTCTCGATTCAGTAAAAAAAAAAAACCCAAACTTTATGATTTCTCTTGATTCAGTGAGATAGCTTAAAGAAATACTGTGCTAAAATAAAAAGCTTCTCTGTCTCCGGCGGCGCATCCAGATGCCATCTGGAATGTGGAAATCCTGCTGGGATTTCTTTCTTCTCCGGGCGCCGGGGTCTGCAGTTGGAGTTGAGGATGTATCTGTGAGAGGGGAATTGTTCTTGCTCTGGTGGCTCCGTCTTCTCCACGGGGCTCAAGAACTTGTTTGTCAGCAAAGCACGTGGGGAGTAAATAAGCTGCTATTTCTGCTACTGAACGGCGGCCACTAAAATGCCTTTTTTGCAAATGAATGGTGCTGCCGAGCTGGTTTGGTCCCACAAAAGCAAGTTTCTTCTGAAACTGGGAGGCGGGGGAAGGCGTTGATGATGCTGAATCACGTTCAGCCTGGAGAAGAGAAGGCTCCAGGGAGACCTTAGAGCCCCTTCCAGTCCCTCAAGGGGCTCCAGGAGAGATGGGGAGGGACTCTGGATCAGGGAGGGGAGCCATAGGACAAGGGGGAAGGGTTTTAAGCTGAAAAAGGAGAGATTTAGGTTAGATCTGGGGAAGAACTTGTTTGCTGTGAGGGTGGTAAGAGCCTGGCCCAGGTTGCCCAGAGAAGCTGTGGCTGCCCCATCCCTGGAGGGGTTCAAGGGCAGGTTGGAGGGGGCTTGGAGCACACTGAGTCATTGGGTTGTTCAGCCTGGAGAAGAGAAGGCTCCGGGGAGACTTTAGAGCAGCCTTCCAATATCTGAAGGGAGCTACAGGAGAGCTGGGGAGGGACTCTTTGTCAGGGAGAGGAGGGGGAAGGGTTTTAAGCTGGAAAAGGAGAGATTTAGGTTAGATCTGGGGAAGAACCTCTTTATTTTGAGGGTGGTGAGAGCCTGGCCCAGGTTGCCCAGAGAAGCTGTGGCTGCCCCATCCCTGGAGGGGTTCAAGGGCAGGTTGGAGGGGGCTTGGAGCAACCTGGTCTGGTGGGAGGTGTCCCTGCCCAGGGCAGGGGGGTTGGAACTCGATGATCTTTAAGGTCCTTTCCAACCCAAACCATTCTCTGATATTCGGAGGTAATTCAGGCTGGATCTGAGGCGAAGCAGGAATTCTGGTGAAGGAAAAGCCCGGAGAAGGTTAAAAAAGGTTTGTCTCGTGGAGCTGGAGGGATGTTTTGGTGGCACCTTTCCCTGCCGGCTGTGGGGAGCCATGGTGAGGAGGCAGGAGAAGGGTTGGGAGTTCCTGGGGCGGCTGAGGGAGCGGTGGGTTGTTGCTGTTAGCCCATTCTGTGATTCTCTAATGCACG